TGTTTAGACTATTTCTATTTTATCAGGAATTTACAATCATTCTTCGGGTGCATTTATGGAAAGATACATTTAAACTGCTGTGTTTGTACACAAATTGGAGGTCACACTWTTTTTCAAGATGCGGATGTTTTTTACTATACTTAAGTCCATATGTCGGACCTGCGAACAACAAAAGAGCGTAAAAAATGATAATAACTGCTGAGCGCATGTTTGGAGGGCAAGCAATGTTGGTATTGTTACCCTGAGCATGAAAAGCTATTCTGCATACATGGTCCTGCATAGTCAGGCATCCTAATTGATGACTCTGAGAAGCAAAAATATTTTTGTGAGAACTGGGATTGACTCATGGAAATAGTCTACTTTGCAACTAATAATAATTTGTCATTACTATTGTGTTGTATTTAAACTTAACTACATGCATGTATTGGCTGAATGATTTTATAGCAATTTTAACTGAACTGAATTATTTTTTGTATCCAGGAAGTACAGGAAGAAACTCTGCGTACAAATGTAAGAATTTTTGTCATTTAACAAATGTTCTTCCTTTGTTCAAAACAAAATTTCAATAAAAATCATGGGAACTTTTTTATATTTCTGATACATCTTGTATTGTGTCAACTGATGAATTGTAGTATATCATTCTGTTAAAAAGCCAAGTGCAGCAGAGCTAATATAATCAAAACTATTATATTACAGGATCCTGGCCGGTTTTTCAGACAGATTTCATTGCCAATTATGCTGAATGAACAAGGGATAACTATTAATGATAAGGTGTGTAGATTCTTAATTTCACAGCTTAGTATAGTGATAAACATTTTTATTGCACACTACAACTACTGTAAATACAGTAAATATTTTCAAATTTCATACATACAGCTTGCCGTTTTAAATGTCCGGAAAGGTCCCCCGCTCATGTTTTATATATTACGAAGAAATAGACCAATTTAGCATTTATTGGTCTGAATTATATACAGCTGAATTATCATTATGAATATTATTAGTAGAAGTTGATTCATTGTGCTATTAATCTTTAAACTACTTGTATTGACATTTATTATTTGCTTCTGTTTCTATTAGGATGACAATGATGAGGCATATCTACAACACATGACACACTCTTATTCCCACAACCATAGTATTGGTAAGTTATATACCCTGACACTGAGTACATGTAGATTGATTAACAAATAGGCCTAATTGCCTAACCCAATGCTGTTTTGTTCTGAGAATTCCAATGCAAAATCAAAATATGGAAGACAAATTTTATTCCTGGATGATTTGAATTGTATGGTTACATACATGCTAGGTCTATTCACGTCACACCAAAACATTCCATTGTTTTAACGCTAAGCATTGTGACTGCATATMARATAAAATGTAGATGAGCTATCATTGATAAATGATGCACATTAAAACTCGATACACTTAAGTTTTCCTTTCGGAATAAATGTTAATTGTTCCAAATTTCAAGTCTTTCTGAGCATCCATCCACAATGTAAACACACTGTGACGTCGTTATGCAATAGGGCAATTGTTAACCCAAGTATAATGCAACTCTTTGTTGTTTAGGAAATCCAGGTGAAATATATATCCATCGTTCCTGTTTGAAAAATGACCTAATAGAAGTCTTCAAAAGTGCCATCCCATCGCAAGATGCGTCTTTTAGAGTCATAGACAACAAAGGCAATGTGGAGAAGGGTGAAGGGGCTGGCGTGAAAAGGGATGTGTTGACAACATTTTGGAATCAAGTCTTCTCATCCCTCACTGTAGGTGATATCGAAAAAGTGCCAGTAATCTGCCATGACTATCAGCAGAAAGAATGGTCGGCAATTGGTGGCATACTTGCTTATGGGGCAAAAATTGATTTCTTTCCCCTTGGCCTGTCCAAAGCCTTTATTACATCATGTCTTTATGGGGAAGACCAAATTAGCCAGGAGTACTTGCTGAATTCATTCCGCAACTACATTACCTCAGATGAGCGAGACGTTTTTGATAAAGTGGTGAATGGGCCTTTCTCCGAAGTTGATACTGATGATCTTTTGGAGTTCCTTGGGAACTATAAATGCTATAAAAAGCCATCAAAAGATAATGTTGCTGCAATTCTGTCAGAACTTGCCCACCAGGAATTGATCCAGCGCCCACGATATGTTGCCCAATGTTGGGCAGTGCCATTAAAGTCCCTTAAACATATGGAAGAGTTCAAGACGCCAGAAAGTATTGCTTCTTTATATGAAAAGATACGGCCGACCACAAAGAAAGTCGTMAGGTCTCTGGTTGCCAACCCAAGCAATGAGGCAGAAAAGCAGGCATTTGAATTTCTAAAAAAATTCATCAGGTCTCTTGATGACAAAGCACTTCAGTCATTCCTGAAATATACCACTGGAAGCTGTACTATGATGGWGCAAGGACTATCTATTTCATTTACAACCATGGATGGATTCGAGAGAAGACCCATTGCCCATACATGTGGCCCTGCACTCGACCTTCCTTGCACTTACCAGAGTTACCCAGAACTTGCAGAAGAATTGACAGCTATTTTAAGTGATAAGGATGATTGGGGCTTTAATATTGTTTGAAAAATGTGCACATTTCAAATAATTGAAATATTATAGCACCATATAGCATTAATAGTATCAAGTGTACTAGAGTGGTTTTCCGTCAACTGTTCAGAGAAAATGATTATCTAGTTAATTTAATACTAGTTGATAAAGACCAAAGGAAGACAATGAACTATTAGACATCGCACTATTATTATTTTTTTCTTCACAGTTGACGGAAAAAGGACTCTATGACTTTATATCGTTGATATTTTTTTACGTTTTGTTTGCATATACATACCTATATAAAGATTATCTTCTATACACATATCTATAATATATTTATATAGTAGCCTATTGTCAGAGCAATATATTTTAAGCCATAAAATGATACTTTAATTTTGCAATGTTTTAAAGAACATCAGGCCTTCTTGCAGGAGAGTCTTAGTTACAGTGTGACTTTGAGTACAATGTACCGTCACATCGAACATTGAATGTTCAATTGTTGTGTCAGGAAACTGCAGTAAGAACTGATGCAAAAATTAACGAGAATGAAGAGATAGACCACAATTAGGTGTTTACTTTCCTAATTTTCTGATTAATGGAAGGTGAAGTTTAGTAGCTTCAGGCAACATTTGCGTTCGAATTTATGCATACTTTAAAATGCACCATAGTGAGTAATTATGGCTCACATTTTACTTATCAGCTACCATGATTAGCTAAGAATGTAATAAAGATTCTGATTAAACCCATCTTGACTTATAAGGTCTGTAGAAGATGGTACATTTGGAACTATATTAACTAGGAATGCACTAGCTATAGACAGCACTTARATATCACTCTATCAGATGCATTCACTATTTTTAAAAAGTTAATTGTTGAAGTTACATTTTTTACGTTACGTTTTTTACCATGGATCAAAAAAGTATAAGTTTGTCCAACATGGAGTGCTGCAGAGGTTTTTCAATGGTTGACATTTCCTTTAGAGCATATTCCCTGTTGACTGGTACTTGTTCCAGTTTATTCAGAGAGGAAATRATATAAAAATTAACACCTAATAGCGGAGCTCAGACTATAATGCAAGTGAACGAAAGTTTTTATTCCCAACATTTTGGGATAATTTGAAGGTCAAGAAGAAGAAAACAAATAGCAAAATTCAACTCATTATAGCCGACATGCTGAGTAGAGGATCTCGCACTGCTGTGATCTAGATATTTTCGGTTCTACACAAACTATTTTATAATAACTTTTGAATAGAGAATCCTTGTTTATTATACTGCAACATCAAAAGATTGTGATCAAGTAAAATAATTTAAGCTTGTAAGCAATACAGCTCATAAATATGTTTCAGGGCTGGTTGTATGAAGTTTGGATAAAGTTATCCGCAGATGATRTCCATAAGGCTTAAGCATGACTTATCTCACAGAATATTTGTACCTTTTTTGAACCAGCCGATTGACAGCACTAGAAGATGCAAGTTTATTTAGAGAATAACCTTTTTACATCAGTAACACTTCTGTTAAAATATAGTTTTCACTTGTTAATAAAMWKKTTTTTTYTTCGAATTTTTAAAATGGTTTTATTCAAAACACAAACAAAAATGGGCAGGCACATGAAGTACAGACATTTCTTAAATACATGAGAATGATAGAACATTTGCATTAACACTCAAAGACATTCTTATAATGTAATGAATATATTATATGGCTACAGTCCTGAACAAAAAGAGTTGAGAATTTTTTTTTTTGGATTTCTATTATTACCCTACCCCCAACCACTGACTTAGTTATTTCTCCCCTTCTATTTGTCCTCCAAAATGTACAGAACAATATTTTTTGGGAGTTACATGTATGCACTACTGTATTTACTCGTTTTGACTCCACCCTCAATAGAAGCCGCACACATGATTTGGGGGAGGGTGCAACTGCCTGAACCATTTGAAATTTTAGTCTGATGTATTTTTCATATTTAAAGCCATTTTGCACTGGATCAATGAGAAAGGTCTTGGTTGCAGGTTCACCAAAAAACACTTGGGCTCCAGTTTGCATCAAAMTTCAATACCTCTGGCCTTCCAGCAGCCCTGGGTCTTGAATTTCCATGCAAGCACTCATTTTAGTGTTTTAGCCTAAAGTTGTAGTGTTAATGTGATACAAATAATGCAATGCAATCAGCATTGTGTACCAATAATTAATAGCACCAAGATGATAACAGAAAAAATTAAAATGAACAGAAAATGAAGTAAATTAACAAAAATTGTTTAGTCTTCATAGTATCAGTCTGTACTTTCAGTCTGTCTTCTATTAAATCAATAATAACAATCTTAACCAATCAGCACTTACAAAATGGTTTACATTATAACTTAAAGACAAAAAATCAACTGATTTCTCTAATGAAGCAGGTGTTGCTTATTAGAGTATTGGTAGTACTTTCTTTATAGGAACAGTGGCCACTTACTTTGTTTATTCAGATATTTSTAATATGAGCTAATATTGCCAAATATWGGTATCTTGCATCCTCAACACTTTTGGGCATAGATAACTTTTCATCTGCCATGATCATTGTGGCAAGTTCCAAGAAAGATGGTTTACAGCCAAATGGAGGACGACATTCACCACAAATTGTATCAGCCAAATCAATGTCATTATCAGTTACTGTTGTTTTGTAATCTCTTGTATTGTTAGCTTCAGGAAGGTAATAAAAATAAAGCACATCAGGTCTACCAGGAGGAGTTTCAGAGTTTTTGGTTTTCCGTATTCTGTGAAGGTTCCAAGTTTTTACAACATTATCTAACTCTAATTGAATTATGGGCATGAAGCAATATTTAAGGCATTCCACTTGAATAACATCACTATCATTGTAAAGTCCAGTGTCTCGCAAGTCTTTAAAGAAAGATATCCACGAATGGGAGTTTGCTTTCCGGAGAAAAAACCACCATGCCTCTATTCGCTGATTTGAGGTAGACTTCCCATAAATAAAGCTCTTTGGCCCTGCGAGACCATCATTGCAATCCCTTCTAAAAAATCGTTGTGTGCTAGCAACATAACCATTTTCTGTACCATTATCTGCTCGAATAACTCTGGGACATCCATTAATTAGACGTACACAATCCAAGAAATAATGAGCTATCACTCTTGGGTTGTTATTAGATGGACCCACCTCCAGCCAAAGAATTTTCCTACTGTATCCATCGATTGCACCGTGTATGCAGAAACCAAATGGCTTCAGCTTGTCATACCCATCAATATGCCATATCATATTAGGGCCTTTTGCAGAATACTGTCGCCTCCGGAATTGTTTTCTTTTTCTGCATGATACTCCTTCAGGATCAAGACCTTTAATAATATGTCGAACAGTTTCGCAATCCACTATAAGACCATGATTATTACACAAACGTTGATGGACAAGGCGATATCCTAAAGCATTACCACTCCCTGAAATCTCCCTTTCAACTGCATCAACAATAACATTAAGTGAGGAACTTTCTTTTCTTCGTTTTAAGCCCATAACTTTTATTATTCTCTTGAGTTGCCTTAAGGAAATTCTGATTCCATGGTAGCTTAATAGGAAGTTCACAATTTCAATATAATTTAACCCAAGATGAAAATAACGTTCAATTAACCAATCTCGGTTCACGTTATTTATTCCAATTGTAGCAGGAATATAATCTGGGGGACTGGTGCTGGTATATGGCAAACCATGAAGGCTGAAGGCTAGGAAAATCACAAGGTACATTGGCATTCTTAGCCAGAAGATGCTAGAAGGTTATTTTTGCTGTGAAAGTAATAAATTATTAAATTAAATGTTCGAATATTTTTGTATGACTGCAACTTTGGGTATTTGCAATTCAGACTAAGACCTCGTGAGGACATTTATGCAACTCTCTGGTGAGAGTTAAACTGTGAACTTGCCCTTTGTTTTTAATGTGAGGTTTCAAATTAAAGTGACAAATTTCCAGTGATAAATTGTTGGCTGTCGGTAAAAATAAATTCTATTTTTATTCTAAAAACAAAAGTTTAAAACTGTTGTTTTGTACTATTTCTTTACCTCTGCAAGCAAGCAAAAAAGGAAACTTAGTCGTTTGACAAAAAAGAAACTAAAGGGGGGTGGGTTGGGTGGAAGATATGTTTGCATGGAAAAAGATTAAATATATTTTTCAACTAGCCAACTCGGCAAGAAAAAACCTCTATGACATGTCAAATTCAAACTTCCTTGGGTCAGGAAGGACTAAGCTTACTTTAAACCATAGTTAATTTATTTAACTATGTTTACAGCTGTAAACCTATAAGCTTAAGCCTAATTGGGTCGACTGTGTACGTAAAAAAGATTTTGTTCTGTTAACTGATAGATAAACGTGGTATTTAATAGCCGCTCGAAACGTTTGAAAACGGTTTAGTGCTAAGTAACTACCAAAAAATGGTTAAATAGAGTGAAAACTTACCACTTTCACACTCGTGTCTTTATCGTCCGCCATCTTGGAGAATACGCAATTGGTACCACGCAATGAGTCTCAACCGCTGACCATAATTATGAGCCACCCGACTCAAGTCGACAATTTTGACGAGTTAACGTTTTAAGTCGTCAATTTTGACGAGTTAACACTTTTAAGTCGACAATTTTGACGAGTTAACGTTTTAAGTCGTCAATTTTGTCGAGTTAACACTTTTAAGTCGACAATTTTGACGAGATAATGTTTTAAGTCGTCAATTTTGACGAGTTAACACTTTTAAGTCGACAATTTTGACGAGTTAACATTTTAAGTCGTCAATTTTGACGAGTTAACACTTTTAAGTCGACAATTTGGACGAGTTAACGTTTTAAGTCGTCAATTTTGACGAGTTAACACTTTTAAGTCGACAATTTGGACGAGTTAACGTTTTAAGTCGACAATTTTGATGAGTTAACCAACTTCATCCCAAAAAATATAGAAGGCAAATTCTGATGGCCCTTACTAGCCACCGTAGGTAGCCTATATCTACATGTATAATTACCTGAAGCTCTTGGATAATGTGCCGAATTTATGCACTCCACTAAAACAGATAGCCAATCCTGATACCCTTTTTGTATCACTTGAAAAGAAATCGCAGGCACCAAGATCATGACCGGGATGCCGCTTGTTGTGGTGTGTCTCCAGTGACTTCCGACTATTGAATTCTTTTTCGCAAAATTGACAGGGTGTTGTGAACACTTCGAACATTGCAATTATTGGTAATAGCAGTTGTCGGTATATAGAACTCTCTACTGAAACCAGAATAGCTTGTAAGTTTTTAAAGACCACGAGGACGCTTACAGTTTACAGTATCTATTACTCAGATTACACTGGTACATTTCCGGTCATTTCTCGTTGTCCAATCGTAATTAGTTATTCGTGTAATCTGAGTAGCTGGGAAACTCGACTTTATTTGTAAAAATCAACTTTTGATTTAAAAGCTCGTGACAACATCAACATCAGTCCCAGTAATTCCATCCAGTAATTTCGATCACGGTTTATATAAATAATGAGCTCAGCTGGTAAGCTAAGAAAAGTGTTTAGAAAAYACACAGCAGAAGAGAGAAAAGAAGAAAAGCGACGCTATAGAGCGCGTCAAAAGGAAGTTAAAAAGCATCTGAAAGAGTTGACTAAGCGTCAGGAGCGAACCAGCACAAATGATGAAATACCGATTTCTGGTCATGCCGTCGCAGGTCCCGCTGGTTTTTGTCGTGGCAGTCGAATGGTAACTTTAGCTAAACAGAGCGTTAACAAGCCGCAATTAAAAGTTAGAGTCACTGTTGTCTTTGAAAGTCGCGTTCTTTGCATTTTTGTGGGGGATTAACGACACCAAAGACAAGTTAATCCCTTGCTTTTTCTCAGAGGGAACTGTTGAAAATATGTCATCAATTACGATTTGCTGGACAAGAAAACTGATACTACACACATGTACACACTGAGCTTCTCAGTTTACGGCGAAGTTTACGACTGAGTTTACGAGGAAATTTGATTTMGCTATAGGCCCCTTGCAGTTCGTGGGAATGCAGTTCCAACTGGAGGACAAAACAATGGATTCTAGTTCCCAAGAGGKYAAAAATCTKYTGTTTTGTCCTCCAGATGAAGCTGGTTTGAGAAATATTAGGCTTTGTATTATTTATATATTTCAGCACAATGTATCTAAGTCTGTGAAAAAAGAAGAAAACAAACAAAATATAGACCACTKCAAACCTATTAAGAGCTTCATAAATACATAACTCGGAGATCGATCTGATTWMAAAACATAAACGACAATAATAATGTTCATCGTATCGTTGGTCGTTTTARAAATAACTATTAGTAGTAGTACTATCATTAGTATTTTCACAAACATAAGCTAGTTCAAACTATTTCCATAGTCGCGTAAAGTTATCGTTTAGCAGCATGATTGTGATATCAAATATATCTTTTRAATCCAAGCTGTTTCTGTACTACARAATYRTAGTATATTGTGTTCTATACGCACGGATCTCTTTTGAACGGATAGCTAGTGCCGAATAAAACCATTTATTACATGGTTTTGATGCTAAAAGAGATCGCATAAAAAAGATCGCTAAAATAAATTCACTACAAAAAACACTATCAAATTAAACTCTTCGAAGCAAAAGAGGGTCCCCTAGACCACGCCACGATACGTTGATACTAGCCTCTACCTACAGTTGAAATTGCGAATTACCTGCAAAGCGAGTACTAGCGTACGGGCATTCCTTGAACGTCGGGGCGCCTATAAATAGGTCTTTGTTTATCAAGGAACTCACGGTGGCTTGCTTGGTTGCATGGGAGGGAATTACCGGCCCCAAGACCACTCACACGCCGCCGCGCACATGATAACCCCTAGCTTTGGCCAAGCTGCATGTCTTTTAAGTGACAACAGGATCGTYTAATCTTCGATGTGGGATAACTTTGAACTTCCGTCCACTGTGCAAGCATGCGCACGCATACTTCCTAACAAAAGATTTAATTAAAATACCACGTTCTTTAGATGCTTTCTTAAATGCACAGGTCCTCAGAGGATTTGTCTAAATGTGACGTCGTACTACTCATGTTACTAGCTTCCGGTCACAGAGACTTCTCTACCGCGTGTAAACTGCAATATAATCGCTTCGTAATTCTAGTTCTTTATACTGTACTAAGACAGAAAAGCAATTCACCATGTCGTGTACACTGGCGTGTTATAGCTGCAAGAAAACCTTTAAAAGTCTTYGTGCGCTCAAGAAACACTGGGAAGTTCAGCACTCGCATCAAATGTTGGATGAAGACAAACTACAATACAAAACYATGGACAAGTAGTACTTATATCAGTGTATCTAAAGTTAATATTCTGTACTTAACTTTATAGACAGTGAAGCCGAACAAAGAGATCGGAAACGAAGAAGGATGATTTTAAAATTAAACGAGACTTACCTGTAAGGTGAAGTTTGATTGTAATTCTACCGATCCATATAGTCATGAGGGGATTACGTGAGATTGCACCRMTTGCCAGCTCAGCTCAATTTCCRAAGACGGATGGCCACAYCCACATTAGGGAAGGGCACTCGCATGCATATGTCAGAGTAATGCTAGGGCGGGCACGTAATCCCYTCATGACTATATGGATCGGTAGAATTACAATCAAACTTCMCCTTACAGGTAAGTCTCGTTTAATTTTAAAATTCTACYKCACCATTACGTCATTCGGAGATCACGTGAGATTTTAAAGCAGTGTGGCCAGAAGACCAAAGAAAACAAATATACCAGGACATGCAGTAACACAAAAAGTTCCTTTACTCCATAAGTAACAACTAGTTTGCATGATGTAAGACATTGGTAGCAAAATCARTATTAGGCTTATCAATAGCTTTGTTGTAGTACTTAGCAAATGTAGAGGCATTCGACCAACCTCCGGCAGACAATATAATGTCCATGGGTGTATCTTTAGCTTTAGCAGCACTAACAGAAGCTGCCCTGGTACTATATGCAGTAAACAATTTAGTATCAATCCCTGATTTGCTCAAGACCTCTTTAAGCCATCGGCTTATTGTATCTCTAGAAACAGCTTTGTGAGGTCTTGTAAAACTGATAAGTAACTGCGTTTGATTTCTCAATGGTTGGGTAACTTCCAGGTAAGCCTTTAAGTAATTGTAGACACATAATCTCCTATCTGGAGCATATGCTTTGAAAACTACATTAGAAAGATGTCTTCCCTGTTTTGTCTGCTTAACCTTGCAGGGCATCATAAACTTAACGGTAGAAGGCGCACGTTCATATTGTCAAGACTCAATAACTGAATGGTCTGTATTCTTTGACCAGATACCAGCATAAGCAACATTGTTAATTTGAGTGTTAAGCTCTAAGAGTTAACTTTGAGGCAGGACTCAAAGTCTTTAAAAATGACAACACAACTTTGACATCCCAAATRCTTGTATATCKAGGCAGAGCAGGTCGTGTCTGGAAAGCTCCTCTTAAAAATCTAGCAACTAGTGGGTGACTGCCAACACTAATGTTCCCAGGCAACGTGACTATAGTTGACAAGGCACTGCGAGCGGAATTAAGAGTGCTGTAACTGCAGTTGGATTGATATAACTCTGTAAGAAATTCAAGTACTTCAGCTACAGTTGGTGAAAACATATCAATTTTCCTTCGATAGCAAAACCTTTGCCACTTCTGCAAATGTCCTGCATATTGCTTTTGAGTAGACTCTCTCCATGATGCCATGATGACTTTGAGTGTATTCTCTGAAAGGCCTTTGTTCTGCAAG